TGCTAAGTGAATTAATCTAAAATTTTATATTATATCTGATCACACAGATTTCAGCTGCTGCTTGACTTGGAGTAGTGGTGCGAGGTTTTACATTATTCACATTACAGAATGCTATTACCAAGTGCATACCATTGGGTAACAATAATAAAAGATAGAGAGCTAAGCCGGCATGGCTAAATAAAAAAAAAAAAAAACTAAGAAAACACAAAAGACAAAAAGCTGGCATTTAAAAAATTAAAGATGGTGGGGACTGCATTGGCATTCCAGAGCTACAAGGAATGCAATAAGAGATGTAAACATAAAATCCGAGCTGCTAAAATAGATTACGAAAAACTCAGCCAGTCAGTAAAAAGAACCCCCAAAAATTTTCAATTTATAAACCGTAAAAAAACAAAACAAAAGAAAAAAAAGTAAGAAAAGAGCAGGTAGGCCCAATAAAAGATGAGAACAGGAGATTAAAAAATCACAAATGACAGGGAGAAGGATGGAGGTAAATTCATTTTTCTCCTCAGTATGCACTCTAGAAAAAGACGGGTTTAATGGAGAGAAGAATGAGAGTAGCTCAATGCGTAAAATGCTGCAGTGGTTGACGGTAGCCAGGGTTCAACAAAGACTTGTAAAACTTAATCAATAGGACCAGATAACCAGCACCCCAGGGTACTTAAAAAGCTCGGCCATGTTATAGTGAGACCGTTATTCCTCATTTTCAATGAGCCAATAATGACTGGAAGGGTACCAAGTGACTGGCGTAAAGCAACGGTAGTATCCATATTCATAAAAGGCTCAAGATGCCAACCAGGGAACTACACATGTCAGTCTAACATCAAATAGTTACCCGATTAATCGTTAATATTTTTGATAGAGTAAAATTATTTTGATCAATAATGAAAACACTCCTCTCCGCCAGCTTCCGGGAGTCCCGTCAGAGATCCGGTGACGTCATGGACAATCGATGTCACCGGACTCCTCTCCCCTTCCCCAAGTGGCTCCGTCAGCTAACGAAGGGAAGAGTCTGGTGACATCGATGTCCGTGACGTCACCAGACTCCTCCCCCCTTCCCTACGTTAGCCGACGGAGCCACTTGGGCCGGTGTTCTATCGATAGTTCCAACTTATCGAGTTCTGGGACCGCCTGACTTCTGGTTTCTCTAGAACTACGAGGTTTGACCAAGAAAGTTCTTCTGCACGAGCGCCATTGCCTTATATACATACACCAGAGCAATAAAGTAATAAAATGAACTAGAATCACAGTAATCCAGCACGTTATTTATCTCAGGTGCCCCACTCAATATGGCCGCCGCTCGAGTGGGGCAACTCAGATTAATAACGTGCTGGATTAGTGTGATCCTAGTTCATTTTATTACTTCATTGCTGTATGTGTATAGGCCAATGTAGTTGGATCTGTATGTGTGTTATAACTAAATCGAAATTTAAAAAAAAAAAAAAAAAAAAAAAAGATAAAAATTTTCATGTTCGATTAATCGAAATTGTTTTTAAATCAGTAACAGCCCTACTATTTAGTGGATTTTGTTTGGTGACAAAAAAGGTATAAGTGTTGATCAGCATGGATTTATGAAGGACAGTCCTCTTCAGAACAACCTAACATTCTACAAAGAGGTGAGTAGAGATCTGGATAGAGGAAAACCAGTGGATATGGCGTACCTGGATTTTGCAAAAGCATTTGGCATGGTACCACAAAACACAAGCTGAAATCTATGGGCATAGATGAAATGGTGTGTACATGGTTAGAGAACTGGCTACAGGAAAGTGTCGAGAGAGTATTGATAAAATGGCTTTTTCACAATGGGCTACAGTAATGAGCGGCATGCCTCAGGGTTCTGTTTTAGGACCAATACGGTTTAACCTATTTATTAATGATATTGAGGAATGTGTTAATAGCAATGTATTTGTGTTTGCAGACAATACTAAAATTGGGAGGGTAATAGACACGGGGATTAGACACTATTACAGGAGGACCTGAATAAAATAGGGGAGTGGGCAAATATGTGGCAGATGAGGTTTGAATGTTGAAAAATGCAAAGTAATGCACTTTGGGGTTAAAAATAGGCAAGCGGAATACACATTAATGGGGACTCCACTAGGGAAGTCAGAAATGGAAAAAGATTTGGGGGTCACAGTAGACCACAGATTGAATAATAGCTTGCAATGAAAGGCTGCAGCAAACAAAGCTAGCAGAGTACTGTCTTGTATTAAAAAGGAAATGTTCTGTAGGAGACAAAGCAATAATTTTGCCACTTTATAGATCACTGGTTCGGCCTCATCTTGAGTATGCGGTTGAGTTTTGCTCACTTACAGAAAGGATCTCTTGTTGCTGGAGAGAGTCCAGAGAAGGGCAACTAAACTAATTAAGGGGCTGGAGGATCAAAGCTATGAGACAAGGTTGCTAGATTTAGACTTGTTCACGCTGGAAGTGAGGAAAATTAAGAGGAAACATGATTTAATCTCTAACAAGGAGTAGAGGCCACCTAGAGGGAATATAGTGTTTAAAAAAAAAAAACATGGAGTACACACACGAGAGGTTTATCTAGGTGTAGTATTTGGTAAACTTGCTGGGTTAATACAGGTATGTAATAAGCAAGGCGTTTTGTATGCGTTTACTCACATGTGTGGTTCCAAGATACCCGCTTGGGTTAAAAGGAGAACTATGGGGCGAGTGAATTACATTCATCCTCATAGTTAGAGCTGACGTGCGAAATGGAAACAGTCACACGTCGGCTCTACTGATCGGGAAGTAAGCAAAAACTACCGCCACTTGCTCACTTCCTGATCCTCTCCCTGCAGAAAAGTGGTGACCGTCAGTTACCGCTCCCCACAGGGATTCCCCCCTCCCCTCTCCGATCCTCCAGCACTTACTGGAGAGACGGACAGGGGAGGGGGCGGGCATAGCCTCTAGATAGGCAATCAGCCAGCGGGGTGGATTTTGACTGTATTGTTGGGATCCGTCCCGGCTGCGGCGCTCTCAGCATATAGCAGGCAATAGCACGCTATATAGTGAATTTTGGGTCACGGGAGGACGTTAGTATATGTCCTCCCTTGACCCTTAAGAGAACTAGGGGGGGGGGGGGGGGGGGGGCCCCAAAATTTTTTTAAGAGGGGGGGGGGGGGAAGTTGCCCCATAATTCTCTTTTAAGCAACCAGGTGGAAAACCCCTGGAGAATATAGCGGTCTCTGTGCAGAATGTCATCAGGTGAGGTTGCTCAATAGTGGAGAATTTTTTTTCTCTGGATGTAGCTGATCTGGTGATAAACGTCCGGCTTAAGAGAATGTTGGAGAGAGGAGCTGAAAAGTTATATCTGTATCGGCAGAGGGGAAACAGAGCACAGCAGCTAGCAGGGAGAAGAGACCGCCACTGCATTCCCCCGCTGCCCCCCCTCGTACCTCCGCTATCACTGTCCCAGTCCTCGCCGACCCGTTCCTCCTCTGCCCTCATGCATACTCTGTATCTAGGGGCTGGGAGCAATAGCCAGCCTATTGGATATTTTAAAATGCAATCGCCAATAGCAGGCTGGCTATTGCACCTGCTGTCAAACAACAGAAGAGGACCTGATGGAAAACTTTCTCCTTCAGTTCTCGCCTCTGCTGATTGACCGCAGGCAGTGGGTTGGTGCAATAGCCAGCCTGCTACTGGCTATTGCAATTTAAAAAGAGCTGGCTATTGCTTCAAGCCACTGCCTGCTGTTTTGACATTCAACTGCCTCAGCAGCTGAATCCAGTGATGTGGAAAAGGTGACACTAGGGGATCTAAAAGACCCCCGTCACCCTAAAGAGAACTCGTTGTCTCCAATGTGCCATCACATAGGGGGCTGTCCAGGGAAAGGGTAGCCACTATGAATACTAATGAATAGGGGGGAGAGCTTAGAGAGCTCAGCTGTAACCAACACAGATTGCTTGCAGAGGAGAGAGGTGGCCATTTCCATGAGGCTATGACTAGGTAAGTAACGCAGGTTTGTGTGTTCATATACAGCAACTGTGTTTGCCTACTTCAGGTACACTCGGTATACATTGCAGGCATTTGTTAAGAAAAATACCTCCGCAAAAGTTGGAAATGGGCTTTAGCTTAGCAGCTCATCTCCACCAAAATAGGAAACTGAAATGTGTAAGCTGTGCACCAAAAAAAGGCAAGCAGAGGCAAAAGGATTTGTCACCAGTACTGCTTGTAATAAAATCTCAGTTGAACTCCACCCCCCCTTTCATTCATTGTGCCTTGTTCTGCACTCTGAGTGGAGGCATCCATGGGGACAAAGGCAGGGCTTGGCTTCTTCATGTCAGCTCTCCCCTACCAATTGGTAATCTGATGAATAATGAAGCAATAAGCAAGCAGCAGGAGATTTTAAAAAAATTGAAGATCAACAGAATGATGCATGGAGATCCTTATAACTGCATACCATCAACTAAAGATTTACCACTAGCAAGGAGAACAGTAAGCAGCACAGTATTGATATCACTAAACCTCATTAGACTAGCAGTCACACCATGGCCCTTTGCCTCTCTCACACTGCAGCCATACAGCCATGAGGCTGAAAGCGGGGAAAGTGCACTGCCATTTTTCAGGAGAAATTCAAGACAGCAGTACACAATTTTTCAATTTTTAGGGCGCTGCTTAGGCACCCTTAAAAGGAGAACTATGAGGCGAGTGCTTTTCACTCACCTCACAGTTCTAGCCGAACTGTGACAATGAGACTGTCACAGGTTGGCTCAGTAGATCGGAGGTGAGCAGATAGAGCTCGCGGTAAACTGTAGCGCCTCAGTATACCGCAAGCTGTAGCTCGCGGTATACTGAGCTTAGGGTGACGGGAGGACGCTAGTTTGTGTCCTCCTGTTACCCTAAGGAGAACTATGGGGAAAAACCTTAACCCCATAGTTCTCTTAACATTTAGACGTTTCCTTTTACATAGCAAACATTTACTTTTTGAATTCAGGTCCACTTTAATAAGCATATTACAGACATCTGGGGGTTAAATTAAGCACTATTTGCCTTACCTCTTGTTTCATCTTTTAACCTCTGAATGCATTCAAGGTTATTTTCTTTCTCATCTAGCTCACTTTCAAGGAATGCATTTCTCTCAATTGCTTGATTCAAACGTTGCTCAAAGTCCTCAAGGGATATAATGGTGGCTCTGGTTAAGCAAACACTGGGTCAGTACACAAACATTTTGAATCTATTAAAGTACATCTAAACCAAAGAACACAAATGTACAATACAAATGTAAAAGAACACAAATGTACGCGACAACAGGGGAGAATGAAAAGTGCTCATCACATCATTGGCTGGAGCAACGTTTCAACTTTTTTGTAGTCACAGCACCCTTTAAAAGTATGCAAGATATCAAGGTACCAGTCCAAAATGTCAAATTTTAAGGGGGACCCCACGCAAAAATATACAAAGTGGGTTTCCCCCTTCACATCAACATTCCCACCTTTCAAAATCAGGATTCCCCCCTTTACATCAGGAGCCTCAATCAACTCAGTCTTCATTTCCCCTTTCCACCACAATCCCACGAAAGTTTGAGGCACCCCTGAGGAAGCCAGAAGGCCCACCGGAGTGCCACAGCACCTTAGTTGAGAAAGGCTGGGCTAGAGTAATATTGCAACTAGCTTTTTTTTTTCTTTTTTTTCAGGATCTGAGTGTATGAGAGGTGTAGAGAAGAGAAAAGTTGTACATTAGAAAGATTATCACTAATTCAGGGTTCGGTATCAGGGGTCCTGTAATAGGGCTTTGTTAAGTCTCCAAGTGAGACATGGTGAAGATGGTGCAGACAAGAGTAAGGACAGAAGAATCGGGACCTGATCAGAGAAAAGATTATCGATAGAGGCTGATTGGATCCGAGAAGTCTTTATGTGGCACAAAGAAATAATCTATCCTCGAGTACATTTGGTGAACATGTGAGAAATAAGTCTAGTCTATCACAAGTATGGAGGAACCTCCAAGTATCAGTCAGGTGAAGGAGATGGAACTCAGATTTTAACTTTTTCAGATTAGAAGGCCAAGTGGGGCGTACCCTTGAAACATCAACCAGCGGATTTATCGCAAAGTTGAAATCCAGGACCAGGAGGCCGTCAGTAAATTCCAGAAGTAGTTGAACCAAAGTTCGCATGAAGCCCAGTTGGTCTGTATTTGGGAAATATACGTTGGCAAATGTCACTGAGGTCCCACCTATTTTCCCCTTCAGATGGAGGAATCTCCCATTTTTGTCAACATACTGATCAGTGTATGACCAGGTTACCGATTTAGAAAGGATCGATACCTCTTTAGTCTTAACAGGAGGTGAGGTGCAGTGGTAGGATACCTGAAAGTCTCTATTCCGCAATTTAGGCACCTAAACACTTCTAAAGTGAGTCTCCTGGAGACACACAATCTGACATCTTGCCTTCTTGAGATCTGCTAGTAGTCTAGATCTTTTTTCCCCGGAATATTTAAACCCTTCACATTGAAGGACGTGAACTTTAGGGCTGCCATCCTACCTGAGAGACAGTCTCGGGGGGGATGGCCCAGAAAAGGAGGAGAAAAGAGAAGAAAAGAGGGGGAAGAGGAGCAGGTAGAGAAAATTAGTAGGGGGATGGAACGGTAGTGTTCAGATGCAGTGCACCACTAACGTGATGTCAATATGTTAGTAGGGTAAAAAAAACAAAATTGGACAAGCCTGACCAAGCTAACGGTACAGACAAAACACGGAGTTGAGGATAGCCTGAGGCTCAATGCACAGGTATAGCCTACGTGGGGGGTGTGAAGGCACATAGGCACCAAGATAAACTATAAAAGGAAATAAAACAAACAAATATTTAGAGAACAAACCAACATTGGCTGCTGAAGGTGAAACGGTGTGACCCTATGGGAGCCAATGAGAATGAACATGTGGAAATGGAATAAACAGAGTATTCGTGAACAGCTGTTAAAGCTATGCAAGAAAACTAAGCATATAATGAGACAGGCGTAAAACCTTGAAGTCCAACCCAGAAAGAACTCGCAGCTTAGCGGTGGAATGTCACGATTCATGCCATTCAGGAGGGCAGATGTTGACGGCCCCTGAAGGATCTGGTGGTACGATGTGGAAGTGTGGGGAATGTGGAAGGACCAAGCGGAAAGTCCAACCAATCAGGTAGAGTAATGGCTTCCATATGCATGAAGCGAAAGAGATCCGGGAGTTGAGACGGAGTCTGCAGAAAAAACAACCGATTGTTATGCTGGACAAGGAGGTGGAATGGGTGACCCCACCGGTATGAAGCCCCCGAGGATCTGATTGTGTCAAGCAATGGTTTCAGGATTCCCCGCATCCGCAGGGTGTGACGAGACATCAGGCAGGACATGATCAGAGCCATCGAATTCAACCGGGCCCGAGTTCCATGCTCGGTGCAGGATCTCTTCTTTCTGGGTGAAGTGTACTCTGCAGAGAACATCTCAGGGTATCCCCGAGGTGGCAGTGCAAAACGCTTGCACGCGATCAAGTTCAAAGGGTGGCTTGTCCAATAATCAATTCAGTACAGCCTGCACTGTGGATCGGAGGTCAGCACCACTTGTGGCCTCGGGGATCCCTTTAAGATGTAAATTATTGCGCCTGTTCCTGTTTTTCACATAATCTTGTTGGAGAACCAGGGATGTAATGCGCAGCTGTGCGTCGGCCTGAACAGCTTCAATAGCCGCCATGCGTGAGGTCAGCTCCGAGGTGGTGGTCTCCACGGCTGTAACTTTGCGGTCCAGAGAGACCACCTGCTGCAATGCTTGCACTATTTTGGACCCCATGTCATCAGGATCCTGTTTGGTGGTGAGGCGAGGTAGGATCTCCTGCCAGCCGACATCATAGTCTGCTCCAGACCCACGTGACTACGAAGAAGCGTCTGATCCCCGAGAGGAGGCTGCGGTCGGCAGCACTGGAGTCAAGATCGGAGAAGCGGGATGACCGCGATGTCCCACACCATTTCTAACGCAGAGGAATGAGGAGCCTGCGCCCACTCTTTGCCCGGTGTGGATTTGACAAGCTCGTTGCGGCCGGCGACAGGACAGGAACGTCAGACGGCTGCTGAGAGAATAGTCACCCTCCGAAGATCTGGATCTTATGGAGGTATGGTTGTATGCCAATAGTGGTCACCTGGCATACAATGTCACCAAGTGTAACACTTAGTGACAGCGACACACTTTGATCACCACCGTAATGAGGGGGTTAAATAAAAATTAACCCCTTAAAAGAGTGGAAAACAAATCTGCGTATCAATACACTTTCATTTTATTTGTAATTATATCAAGCAGTCATCGTGAATTAATCTCAATATGACTGCTTGACAAATGTAATTACTTGCGATTTCTAGGCTGCTCCAAACTTGGGAACGGCCAATAATACCTTAGTGACGACAATGATCCTTACATGCTGATTTTGCAACATTTCAGGATTAGATATCACTAAAAGGCTTCCGATTGTTCCCAGAACAATCAGAAGTCTGAGGCCATGTTCACACTGAAAGCGTGTCTGTTCGAGCGGTAGCTGCTGGAACGCACTGTGATCGCTAAGAAACTTCTCCCCGCGTGCTGGGGCAATGTCCCGTCACACTGCGGGCAGGGGGGGGATGCGTGGAAGCGGTGCCATTGAATTCAATGCATCGCCATGCCCGAGAATGCGGGGGGGAAGTTTTAGCGATCGCGGTGCGTTCCAGCAGATAACGCACTGGAACGCATACTTTCAGTGTGTACAAGCCCTGAAACATGTAGCTAAAGTTTCTGCACAGAAACATTGTAGCAAAAAGCTGATACAGATTGGGGTCCCGATCTGTACCAGCTGTCAAGACAGTAACAGCAAGTGCGGTAAACACCACACTGCTATCACTGTCAGTCACCTGACTCCCAAACAGGGATCGGGCGTCTGAAAAAGCTCAACTCTATCATGAATGGATGCATCTATTAATGAATGGTAACTGCTGATTCTTAACAGTTAAAGGAGAACTATTAGGAGTAATTTTCACTCATCCACATAGTTCGAGCCAACGTGCGACAATTAAACTGTCACACATCGGCTCAATAGATCGGGAAGTTAGCGAACATATACCATCGCTCACTCACTTCTCGATCAACTCACTGCAGAGAGCCATGACCATCAATCACGGCTCCCTGCAGGGATTCCCCCCCTCCAATCATCCAGCGCTGTCTGGTGGAACGGATGAGGGAGGGGCGGGTACAGTTAGCTCTGCCTCTAGATAAGCAGAGCCAGCCGTCAATCACGCAGCTGGGCGGATCTCAACAGTAATGTCGGGATCCGTCCCGGCTGCAGCGGTCTCAGTATACCGCAAGCTGTATCTCGCGATATACTGAGCTTTGGATCACGGGAGGACGCTAGTTTATATCCTCCCGTGACCCTTAGGAGAACTATGGGGAAAAAACACCCCATAGTTCTCCTTTAACGGCATTACAAAAACCTTAATAGCAGATCACGTACAGTGTACATGATCAGTCATTTGGGCACATCATGGCAGGGACGTACAGTGTATGTCTCCTGTCACAAAAGTGATAAAAAACAAACCCTGTTGTGTGTTTAAATAGAGGGCTGGCAGGATTCTGGTGCAATAGAAAGCAACAGGGGAAAAAACAAAACAAAAAACACGAAGATTGCTGTGCCTCTGTTTTGAACTTTTGAAGACAAATTTCTTTACCACAGATGTGAATGAGAACTTTAAAAACATGTTTAAGGGCTTTTATGGCTTTTTCAGAATAGGTAAGCACTTCAGTGAGCATAGTCCAGGCACCGGTTTAAGTTAACTGTGCACCACATGCTTAGATTGTAATGCACGGTTTTCTTCTCCATTGGCAATTTCCTAAAACAAAGAGTGCCAAGAGTTTACAGTTCTGCCAAAAGGTTCTCTCATAGCTCTACTTAACATAGCATAATACTAAATGAATCACTAAAATCAAATTAAATTAAAAAATGAAAACATAAGGTAAAATATTTTGTTGTGATAAGGTGGGGAAAGGTCAAAACCTCTGTCCAGTTCATGTTTTCTCATTAGCAAGATTGTCCTTCTGCTATTAAAAGTGGCCATACATTGTACGATTTTCGTTTGAAATCCTTCTTTTCTGAACGCTCGTTCAATTATACCTAGACTTCCCCATCAAGCATAGTCAAAAGGTTGATTTTGAAAACCTTCAAGAGCCATACAAACCAACCAATTCATTTGACGAATGGAAATAATTACCTTTTGCGCATGTGCTGTATTCTCGCTGTTATTTATGATGAACGAAAACCCCAAGATAGATTGACTTCCGTTCGGTCAGTGAAACCCGACCCGAGTGTTCCAACCCGAGTGATCGCAAAACTTCGATCACAATATCAAAAACGATAATCGGTGATGTTCCATCATCTGTTCAAACTTCGCTCGAAAGACTGTTAGTGTACGATTTCCGATCAAAAATCGTACAATGTATGGCCACCTGAAGACAGGAAATGGAAATCTCGCCAAAACTTTGAGATTTGTTACAGGTGTACCCAGTGGAAGATTTCCCCACACCTCATGTTCTGGTGACAATTGTAACATTTTGGGTTTCCTTATCAGTTTCTGTCTTAGAAATATATATGTCTTGAGGACAACAACAACAAAAAAAGATTAATCTCAAACTATCAGTGGTGGAAATAAAATCTTGACAGGGATTTCCCGCTATGCAAAAGTATGTGCAAACCGCCAATTTACATATACATATGTACATCTGCCAGACAGTACCAGAAGAAGAAACTGTAGCTGCAGTTTTAAACTTTGGACAAAATGTATGTGATCATCAGGTCATTAATGTAACAATGGCAAGTGACTAAAGCATAACTAAACCAAAAATATAATATATGGCAGCTTACCAACGCTTAAATGTGGTGGCTGAGTCATCCTTTTTTTTTTATTGAGGGATTTTTCCCCCATTTAAGCTGGTGATCTGGCAAGTAACATTTTCTGTCTTAAAGGCGGCTAAACTTTAAGCAGTTAAAAATCCTTTAACAGACCAAGCTGTTCAGCAAAAGTAGCAAATAGGTGGTTGGGACAAACCATTTAACTGACAGGAATACCTACAATGGTTCGCTTTCATTGATGTAAAACCTTTATCCCACAGTAAAGCAAAAAAAAAAACCCCAGTTACTGTAAGTACTTAAAAAGTGTTGGCTGGGGTTCGGCTACAATGCATCAGTAAAGTCCATATAGAGATAAAGAAACCAATATATCCTTTTCATTCTGTGTCCTGAACAAAGAATAACGTCACACACCTCTTTGCTCTTTCCAAGTCATCATTGGCTTGTTCCAGTTCTCGGATATATTTCTGTAGTTGGTCTTTGACTGCTCTAGTTTGTGAAAGGTCATTTTCCATTGTAGACATCTGCACGTAGCTTTCTGCATGTTGATCTTCATACTTCTCCTGTTCATTGAAAAGCCAATCATTCAATTAATAGTACAACTTTATTTTTGTAGGAAAAATGGTGTTAAAAAACAAAATACAAAAAAAAAAAACAGTTCCGGTGTATGAACTAACCTACAAATTACTTTGAAATACACAGCAATTTTTTGGGGACCTGGGAAAAGAATCAGTGAAACAACGATAAACCTGTCACAATTCCGTGCAATCCAAACTGTTAATATGATGACAATATTGCATCCACAGATGTACTTTATACTGAAACTCCTAATAAAAAAAACCCATCTCAGTAGATCCAATTAGACACTGTTTAAAAAAATAAATAAAATAAAAATAAATCCTTCCCAAGTTCATGAGGCTTCCTAATAAAGAGGTTTGGGAAGTAAAGAGCAGGTCCAGGCTTATCTGTTATAGGGGAAAGTGGGGAATTGCACATAATATTGCCTGCCTTTTGACATTTGGCTTACACATTTCTGTGGCACCGCTGCACTTATACTGATCTTGCTGTATACATGTAGAATTTGTCAAGGCATCTGGCACACCAAAATAATTTACCAATGCCATTTCAAAAAGCCACAGTGAATGCAAAAATTGAATTTGACTTGCCAGGAAAATCTTTTTCGTGGAGTCAGACCATAGGTTAAATAGCTACCTTCAGGTGATTGGACACTGGCAACAAAGTTGCTAGGACAACCACTTCCACTAAGCTTCAGATTTTTTTTTTATAGCAAGCAATAGGAGTCAATCTGCGACAGAGTGGAGGGACCCGTGTCCTGTAATATGCTCCAAGAAAAGGAATTTACAGGTAATAAAAATGACTATTTCTTAATTGTACAGTACAGGACTGTCAGTCATAGTCCATGGGATTTCCAAATACAGTCAACTAAGGGGTGGGCAACACAACAAATGCCAACAGGGCCATGAAACAAAGGTCAGGATCCTATGAACTCAGAGGGCGATAGAAAGACCCTTTCAAGTGAAGCTGGCATCAGAGGTGGTCTGAACATCCACCTGGTAAAAACACAAAGTTACAAATCTGAGAAACTAATGCCTGCAAAGGCCCATGAAGCAACCACAGATTTGGTACAGAGCACCTTAACTGGAAAGGGAGAACACCAATCCATGTGAAGTCAGTTCATGTTTTACTACAATCTAAAGCAGGAGTCCTCAAACTTTTTAAACAGGGGGCCAGTTCACTGTCCCTCAGACATTGTTGGGGACCGCATCAGTTTGAAATGGCGGTGCCATTGACTTCAATGCACCACCACGCCCCCTGCCATCGAAAAACTCACATCACAGCTTCCTGATTGGCTAGGAAGCAAGCTTCACTTGGTAAGCAGCCTGGCTTCCTAACCAATCAGCAAGTCAGGCGGCACGTCATGACCCGCCTCCCTGATTAGCTAGGAAGCTGGTTTCACTTGTTCCTAGGCAGCTTGGCTTCCTGTCCAATCAGGAGGTTGGGAGGCAGTTCATTACATGCCACCCGGCTTCCTGATATGTTAGGAAGCCAGGCGGCTAAGGAACACGTGAAGCTGGCTTCCTACCCATTCAGGAAGCGGGTCATAACCCACCACCCAGCTTTCTGATTGGAAAAGAAGCTGGCACCATGCTCCCTCGGCACTGCTGGACAGAAGGAGAACTCCCTCTGACCGGAAGTTCCGGTATGGGGGGTATGTATCGGAGCATTTGGACGAGTACTTGCCCAAACATACTCTGTATCGGCACAGAAGTATCAGTATCGGTGCATCCCTAGTGCAAATCCATTTTATGGATAGTTGTCAAACGACAAGTGCATTTCTGAGCCTGATGAAGGGGACCCTGCGCGGCCCCAAAACGCGCTTGTTGTTTGAATGACATCAATAAAATGGATGTTGCACCAACATGGAATCTGGACATCTGTTGTGAAAGATAACGTCACAAAACATGTGACAGGTTACCTGTGGCATGTTTTATGTAGATATTCATACATTTTTAACCACTTGCTGACCGGGGTATTCAGTGCTGCGGTACTTTGGCTGATGTTTATTCCATCATGCAAGGCTGTACTGAAATTAATTTTATAGCATTTTTGGGGGGACACAGAGCTTTCTTTTGGTGGTATTTAATCACCACTGGGGTTTTTATTTTTTTACTATAAAACAAAAAAAAGTACAGAATATTTTATTTTTTTTAAAAAAATTGGTTTTCCCTTTATTTTAGGAAACATTTATTTTTACCCAATTTTTGGGTAAAATATAAAAAGGCGGGGTCACGTCAGGTAAATAGACATCCAAACATGTCAAGCCTTAAAATTGCAAAAACCACCATAGCCAAAATTGATGATAGGCGGCGCTTTAAATGATTTTACCGCTAATCAGTTTTGTACCGGAGAGTGACAGAGGAATGCGGAAGTGATGTAATATACATCACTTCCTGCATTCAGAGACTGGGAGGAAAGCAGAGGGAGATTGCGTACTGATCTCCCTCCGTTCTCAGTGCACAGAGCCACATCGCCCGGGATGGATGGAGGCCCGGGATCGCGGGGACGGGACAGCGACGAGAGGTAAGGAGGGGCGCACCCTCACTTGCATCATACAAGGGATCGGGTGTCTTTACAGACGCCGGACCGCTTGTATGTAATCGGCCATCGCTGGCCGTTTAAAATCTAAGCGGTTTCCCGCTCGCGCGTGCCAGGGGGCGCGTGCACGAAGGACGTCTAAAGACACCCACCCGCATCCAGGAGACTCCCGTCCGGCCGTCTTTCAACATTCGGTGGACGGGAGGTGGTTAAAATATGTGTTTAAAAAGTGAGGACAGTCAGTCTGCCAGGGGATGATTTCTTCATCGCTCCCTCTCCCTAATGCACCTTCCTCTCACTAACAGGAGAGAAACAGAGAGGGAGTGAAGACAGCACCACCCGGCGCTCGCTGCCTGTCACCTGCCGCGGGTCGGGTTAAGGACCCTGGCGGGACGGAGGTGGCCAGAGGACCCCTAATCTAAAGCATATCATAGATTTAGTAATTGTTGCAATAAAAAATAAAAATAAAAAAAAAATGGATTTTTGTACTCCATAAAATCCTTTTCTCATTGAAGGACACAGTGGAGATCTTGAATCTCCTACCGATGGGTTATATGGTGCCACCATCTATATATACACACACCTGGATGACCTAGAAGACCGCAGTCGTAATATACAAATTAGAGGCGTTCCTGAAGCTACTGACCTAGAAGGCATCTGTCACAGGGATTTCTAACACCATACTGGTTGCATTTTTTTTTTTTAACTTAAAGCCAAGATTCTCTTCAAGGCTCAAACTCAAGGCACATTTGATTTTTTGACGGCGCAACTATTTCTTTATTTCCAGATCTTTCCAGGCGCACTCTTGCTAAAACAAAGATCTCTCCGTCCGCTCACCAAGGCATTGCGGGATACTAACAAATCGCCTGTTGGGGGATACACCTTCAGCCTCTCAGCCAAACGCAATTGCTGAGTGCATGCCTTTCGCACGCCCTCAGACCTGGAGTCATTCACTGCTGCTATGTGAATTCCTGCACTTACGCTGGAACCGTGGCCAGATCTGGATCTCCAACTTCAGACTTCTCTGCCTCCAAGAAATGACTGGGAAACGGTCCCACCGAAAACCTTGTAGAGAACTACTCAATCCAGTGATCACTGTTTTCCCTGGCAAGTGACCATCTTGTTCTATCCCCCACCCACCTCCATTTATTTACATTAACTCGACATTACCCAATTTCTACTTCTGGTATGACTCTTATGTATTCCTCCCACCTTTCTTTTACTGTGCCTTTCTCAATGGATCCTCTGAACTCGTGTCATTTTGTTCTTTTTTTTATTGGATGTATTTTTCTATTTGCTGTCACTGCCCTCAATGGAACATTCTTGGATTGAACCTCATTACTTACTCCTATTTGGATTTTCTGACAAGCAATCACAACTGAGGACCCTGCTGGATTCACCCTTACAACAAAGCTTTCTCAATTCAGAATGACTTGTACAAAACTTCTCTGGAAATAAATATGGTGACTGTTGCTCCAATCCACATAATTTGTTAGTCACAACCAGGTGTTTATGGCATTTGCATAATTGGAGTCTAGGAGGTGTTAATAACCTGGCCAGAGAGAGGTGTAAAACAGCATTGTATGTGGGAGACAATACATGTCTCACTGAACTCTATTCAAGCTTGGCTTCTCCATCTTTACATAAATGGCCTCTTTCACGCCTCTTTCACACCTCTTAAACCAGTCCTCCTCCCTGTCTAGGATGCGTACTTGACTGTCTTCAAAGGAGTGACCTTTTTCCTTTAGGTGCAGGTACACTGCCGAATCCTGACCTGAGGGTTTGGCTCCTCCATGCTGTGCCATACGCTGGTGTAGCTGCTGTTTTGTTTCACCGACATACAATTCTGAGCACTCCTCACTACACTGGACTGCATACACAAAGTTGTGTTTTGGCTTTGGGTCTTTTGGGTGAACCAGTTGTTGCCTCAGTGTATTGCTTGGTTTAAAGCAGACAGGGATGTGATGTTTCTTAAAAAACCCTTCTGAGTTTTTCAGACAACCCAGCTACATATGGGATGACCAAATTCTTCTGTTTGTCATGCTTTTCACCCTCACTGGTACTCTGGGCTTTTGTCAAAACAGAAAAAGAGGAAAGAATGCAAAGTCTGGATACCCGCAAGTTTTAAGGGCCCCCCTGAGGTGTTTGAATTCCTTCATCTTGAGCTCTGTTCTGGTGGTATTTTTCTCTGCCCAGTGGTGTAGAGTCCTGATGACTCCCAGTTTGTGGTCTAGAGCAGCGTTTCTCAACCTGTGTAACCTCAGGACCCACATTTGTCCTTGGTCATCAAGTCACGACCCAAGTCGCACTGCCATGTAATGCACAGCATTAGGGTACTGCACAGTGCAGGCGATGGAACTGGGAGGTGGGTTTGGGGTGCCATTCAAATCAACAGCAATGCAACACACCTCCCACACCAGAAAACACGGTAGGAGCGATTGTGTGG